TTATAGCTAGCTATAACAAAGAATGTGGGATTAGGAGATTAGCTTGAGCCTTGCCCGATTTTAGATTTTACAAAACGATATCTTCTACCAAACACTTAATCGTGTAGTAGCACTTTCTTTTGAAGTAAAATACAAGGCACACATTCCAATTTAAAAATTCAGAAAAAATACAATATCCATTATGAAATAAATAACGTAAAAAAACATAAGAAACTTCTGCCACAACAGCATATGATCACTTAAAGACGAACACATGCAGTTAAAGACCGACACATCGGCCTTACAGTAAAAGACAGATTCAGTAAAAGCAGACACAGTAAAGACGGACACATACAGTACAATACAGATACATAGGCCCTACAGTAAAAGACAATTTCAGTAAAAGCAGACACATTCAGTAAAGACGGACACATAAAGTATAAAACACATTCATTAAAAGACAGATACATTCAATTAAATACAAACTTAATGATAAACAAGATTGCAAAATTATGTTTTTCCGTATCAGTGAGGTGTAAAACGTCGAGATTTGTAAAAATATCGATTTTTTTTTTTTTGCACGATTACAAGACTTTCTCTATACATCGTATATACGAGAAAGTAAAAAACAGACACATTCATTAAAAGACAAGACAAAATCAGTACGACACATAGACTAACACAGTTTTAGATATCACTTTATATTCTATAGTCACTTCTTCCACGAACTTTTACAGATAATCTTTTAAGAATCACATTACACTCGTACAATGATAAATGAAGCAACGCTAAGCCATTACGTACACGGAAAACGCGGGCTACGTTTTCCAATGTAAACAGTTACTCCAAGACAAGATTGGCCTAGATATTTTTGAATAAATTACGACATTCCTTAAACCATAATACAAAAGTTCGGTTACTATTCTTAGCCGTACCTAAACAGCTACTGAATAGCTACCCGTGTGCAAGAGATTAAAGAAAATATGTAGCACACTTTGTTGAATGTTAAGCACAGCATTATATATAAAAAAAATATTTTACAATGGGCGACTGCTCAATTTTCAAACAGAAATAGAACTAAAATGTGTGTTATGTTTATGTTGTGCAGATAATTTAGATCTGGATATCAGCATCAGAAAACATGCGGATCTTTTTTTAATACAGATAAATGACAATCAGGGATCATTCATAAATGACGTCACGCTTTTGGACGATCTTTACCCCCCATACCCTCCCCACCATCACACTTCATCATTAAAAAGTCGCATATAGATCTAGCTGTGGAGCTTAGGGTTACTCTCCTTTGCATAAATCACCGACGCATAAATCACCGACTATTTAAAATTAAGTCTTTTTAGATCTAGCTTAACACGGAGCACTAACATTCACACTTAGCCAGATTTAAAAAAAAAACAGACTATGAAACAAGAAAGTTAACAACAATAACAACACACCTTTAAGTTATTTTCTTATTCCAATTTAGGCCAAGTTTTGGCTAACGCATACAAAAAAATAAAACTTACATAATCGCTGCTCCTTTATCATTATGTAATTTAAAGTTGAAAATGTTTATTTCAAATTTCAAAACAGCTTACAAAAGTCTAAATCCAACAGAAACCACGAAATGAAGTCAGGCCTGCGTTGATGTGTTAATCTCCCACACATTAAAGTTAGGTTAGAGTTAAGCTACCTGTAGGGTCGCCACCCGTTACACCTGGGGAAACAGGACGTGTCGTCTGTGTAGGCCAGGGACGGGCTCTCTCGTCTGTGTCTCGCCAAACTGGTTCCCACGATTTAGGCGAGGGGGTGCTCTATGGCCGAGTCGGGTTTGACCTAAAAGTGAGAACAGAGCCGGGGTTGTGCCGCTTGGCCGTGTGACACTGATGTAAAGGTGGGGGTGGGGTGGTAAGGGGGCGAGGGGTGGCAAACTATTGTGGAGCAAGAAAGTAGATATCAGATATTTATTTTCTGGCAGATACCCGTTGCAGCATAAGTTTTAAATATATGTGTAAATAGGCATATATATATATATATATATATATATATATATATATATATATATATATATACATATATATATATATATATATATATATATATATATATATATATATATATATATATATATATATACATATATATATATATATATATATATTTTATATATATATATATATATATATATATATATATATATATATATATATATACATATATATATATATATATATATATATATATATATATATATATATATATATATATATATATATACATATATATATATTTTATATATATATATATATATATATATATATATATATATATATATATATATACATACATATATATATATATATATATATATATATATATATATATATATATATATATATATATATATATATATATATATACATATATATATATATATATATATATAATGTATTAATTCAGCTAGTTTCAAGGACACTGATGAAAAAGTGGAGGTGGGGTGGTAGGGGAGGGTTAGTATACTGTTATGGAGCAAGAAATTAGACATCAGATATTTAAATCCAGATAGGTTCTAATAGTAGCTTTTTCTGTACGTTATGTTTTTAAAAAAATATCCTAGCTAAGCTAAGCGCTAGTATTTCAACGCTCACTTAGATAATGACACTAATGTACAGGTATGGGTGGTAGATGGGCGATGGAAAACTATTATGCAGCAAGAAAGTATATCAGATATTTATTTCCAGGTACTTAAGTAGCTTTGTTTCTGTAAGCTATACTTTTAATTACACTGTTGAAAAACTGGGGGTGGGGTGGTAGGTAGAGAAAGTAAACTATTATGGAGCAAGAAATTAGATATCATCTATTTTTATCCAGTCAAATACTAATATTCGCTTAGTTTCTGTACGTTTTGTTAAAAAAAAATATATCTTAAGTTAGGCTACGACTGTGATCTATGTTATGTGCTGGTGTTTTCTCGTTCGAATTTATTCTAACACTGATGAAAACTTGGGGTGTGCAGGAATTGTTGTCTTGATGGTATCAGATCTTCTCTTAATCCCGTTAGTGCCCAAGACACATTGGGCAGATGAAGTAGAGTTCATCTGATTCATAGTCCTCGGCATATGAAGTGATACTATGGTACTATAGTATTCCCATGGTATCAGATACATAATAATATATCCAGATAAAAAGCGGTGTTCTGAACATGATTATCCATTTTTTTTTAAAATTAATATTGAGTAGGCTTATGATATCATTTTATTATTTCATATATAACAAATTTTGAAGAGAAATTATCTCTATTCTATGATATCTCTATTCTTATGATAGCACCCCTTATGATAGCAGGAGAGATGCACGAAAGAAACACTGGTTACAGAATTGTTCGGGATATCACGACCGCTTAACATAATCGGATAATTAGTGAAGCCATTAACAATTAATTGTTAAAGTTGCCTAATAACTCATCAGATAAAAAAAAATTAACTTTTTTATTAGTTGATGGTTAGGCTATTCCTTTTTTTTTTGTGGCTCCATTATAAATAGTTAAAATGTTAAGTAAAGGATCATTTCGAACCCGACGGTCCATGAAGTATATGACGTTTCTATGATGACATTTTACTTTTCCTAACGTGAGAAAGGCAGTGTTTCATTCAGGCAGCTCTTCCGGAGTCGAAGCCCCCCCACCCCCCCCCCCACCCCTCGAACGAAATAGAATTTATCAGAGGCGTAGCGACCCTCCCGGCGCCGGGGGACAAACTTTTCGATTTGCACCCCCCCCCTCTCAAGATTTCGATTTGCACCCCCCTCCCCCTCAAGATTTCTATTTGCAACCCCCTCAAACTTTCGATTTTCACCCCACCCCCCCCCCCCCCCGTTCGAGATTTCCATTTGCACCTCCCCCCTCAAACTTTCGATTTGCACCCCCCCTCAACCTTTCAATTTATTTTTCCAACCCATTTTGGCGCCCCCCCCCCCCTAAGTTCGGCGCCCGGGGACATATGTCCCCACCGCCCCCCCCCCCTTCGCTACGCTACTGGAATTTATATAGAATATAAATAATTTTACCCGTGTCTGCCCCCTCCGAAAGTTTCAAGAGCCCCCAAGGAGAAAACTGTGTTCAACTGTTTCCTATCCTCTGTGAACTGGAAAGGGTTAAATAACGAGTCCCTTGCCGACCAGATGTCACTTAGAGTGACTCCCACTGGTAAAAAAAAAATGTCAATCAGATAATGGCATCGGCGAGAAATCAGACACATAGCAACCGTAGATTGTCATGGCTCGGAGAATCGCACCTAAAAACAAAATCCTCAAAGGAACCATAAACAGCTAGTGTTATTTAAAAAAAAATATACCCAGTTACGTCCCTTAGTTTATCTGTAGGTCCCAAACTGGTAGAGATGAAACAGCTGAAAAAGTAATGAAATACTAATTATCATTAGAAGATTCTTTCCTGTTGTGTCTGTTTAGAAAAATAAATTTAAATTTGATTTAAACTATCTCTTCCCTGTGTAATCTGGCAGTACACAGGTCTTTAAATTGTAATTTGATTTGAAAATTGTTCTAACCATTAGAATGATTTGAAATTGTTCTAAACCTTATAATCTAAAGAGTTCACAAAATAATGTTTGTCTTTCATTTTAAAGAGAAATATTAATAGACTCGGTAAAATACGAATGAAAAGGGAAGTTTTCGAAGACTAGTGAGAAAATATATAAATTATGATGAAATTAATTTTTAATATATAAAGGGTAATGAAACAAACGTGATAGTGATGTTTTTGTTGATTAAATTTTATGGCCTAGTTAAATTATTAGCTACATTTTATTAATGTTAATATATTTTATAAGATAAATAAGCCTACATTTTATACATGCAAAAAAGAAGAAAAAAACGAAAGATTAATAATAATCCAATGCGTATTAAAACTGCGAATAAATGTTCTAATAATCTTCGAAAGCTCTTCTCAAATAAAAAATTAAATATTTCTCGACCTTCTGTGGGCAAATAAATGTGTTAGGCCTACTGTTAAAATTGTAGGTTGGTAAACTTTTTGAGCTAAATCTAAAACATGAACTTTGATTTACTGGTGGTCGAATCAATAGAGTAGCTTTAAAATAACTAAACTAATTTTTAAGTAGGCTAAGTTTTGGTAATCTATCGTTTTGGGTAGGCCTACGTAAAATCGCCCGCGACTAGATCTGGAATCTAGATCTAGAATCTAGACCTAGATCTAGATTCTAGATCTAGATCTACATTTACGTCATTTGTCATTTAGGCCTAACTATTTTAACTAGATCTACATTAGATCTAGATTTTCTAGATCTACTAGATCTAGATTTCTAGATCTGATCTAGATTTCTAGATCTGATCTAGATCTAGATCTAGTAAAAAGTAAAAGTAAAGTGAAAAACAGGTGACTCCTTAAATTTTAATAATTATTTCACATTTTGAGGAGGATTTATGTTTTGAAAATACAAAAATGTTTCCTTGTTTCATTTATGTACCTGTTTTTAAACATTTGAATTAAAACTTTTCAGTAATAAATGAAGACTAGAATCTAGCGATGTTTTAACAATTTTAACTTTTAACTGTTGCTTTCTGATCTGACTCAGTGTATCACTATCAGTTTCAGACGTGTTTCCTAATAAATATTACTTTAAAAGTAGTTTAAATTAAAAGTAACTTAGGACTTAGGCCTATTCAATTTAGAGATTTTAGACCTCTGGGCTCACACTCTACAGACTCAACTGACTTTTATGATATTTTATCTTAGTTTTATTAGGCCCTAATTAATAATTATATTCTTACACAACAATTGACAATGGATGCATCTATTCAATCTAGATATATTTGGACCCGGGTCCCAATAGCCTCAGCTGCGATGGGACCCTGGTCCTAATGGCCTCGGCGGCTATTCGGACCAGCCAATAAAATTGTTAAGATTTAGTTATTCAATAATTCTTTTAAGATGCAGAATATCTTTTCTGTTGTTGTAATTTTTCTCCTTGTAATTCTAAATTATATATTGAGATCTTCCTTTAAATACCTGATGGTCTATACTCTATACTGGCTTATGGTATGAACTTCTCTGGCGAACATTCAGCGTGCATGTAAAAAAAAGAAATTTCTCCTGTTAAGCATAATTTGATTTCATAGGTCTCATCGAGGTTCGGGAGCCACTACGTTGTCCACTCGGCCGCGACATCTTACGATAAATAAAAATTTAATGAATTTCTTAATACAGCTAAATATAACGTTATTTAGAAAAAGCAACACAAGAACTAACGCTAGCATATCCAAAGAAATAATTACAATTAAACACAATGAAATACTAGTCAATCCTCAAGAAAAATCAAATAAACATAAAAGGTATAATTTTAATACAGGTTGTATGAGTGTGTAACTTAATGCCGGGTCCGAATAGTGGCTATAGGCACCTGGGTCTCAATAGCAACCGGTGCTGCACTTCGTTGTATGCACTTCGGTGGTACAAGTAAGTACCTGAAAAACTAGAGACTCTTTAGATATTCTTTTGTTAGAAGTACTTAGACTACGATTTTAGCATTTTTTTATTGAAGATGAAAAAAATGCAGTTCTCTAGAAACAGTTAAACTTAACGCTGAAGTAGTTTTATTAACTCAGGAAAATTTAAAAAATTGGATTTTAGGTTTTAATTTGTTTTTACCAATATAGAGATTTCAAAATAGAACAGTTCGGTTAAATCTTCAGTTTAATGGTGCAGTATTTATCTATCACAGTATTGGTTATGTAGGTTCTATATCACAACCATGAAAAGGTAATCTTTCTTTATTTCATAAATTATCATCTTGATACAGTATTTTAAATCTGTCATCATTATTTAGATTTCCCACTCTGCTACCATGGAATCTATCAAAGAGCCAAATGGACCAGTTTTACTGAAGAAAGGTGAAGCAGTTCCAGCTTATGCTAGGTTGATGTCTGATAATGATGTGTTATCATGGCAGAAAAAACGTATAGAAAATCATCAACCTCAAAGCGAAATGTAACTATTTTAATCTTTTTAATCGGTAATTTTAAAAAAACAGTTGTATAATGATATGCAATGAGTGTAATGAAAACTAATTTTTATAAATTCTTTTACTTCCTCAGTTTTGTCTTCAAGTATGGAATGCATATCTTAACTGGTGTTGCTGGCTTATCGGGCTTTATAATCAATACAAATATTCGTAAAAACTTCAGACTTGGCACACTGCGGTCAATGTTTACCTATATACCATCTGTGGTTTTAACTGGCGCTTTAGCAGGCGTGATTCATCAATTTGGTATCAAGGACCGTGTACTTGTAGGAAAGGAATATTGTTCATTATGTGTTTCACTTCGATCTGGAACTTACCAGTCTGTGATGGGTGTGGCCTACTCATTTTTGGTTTCATTTTTAACCTGTCTTCCCACAGCTAGGGAGAATTACACATTACCAATGCCAGCCACTCAAAAAGGTCTGGGGTATTTAAAGCTATTAAACACTATATCACCAAAGTCAAGCATTTTGTTATCGTTAATAGCAGCAAACATGGTTTTTGGTTGTGTGGTTGGACAACAAGAGTTTTCAGTGTTTTTAAATCATTTAATCCAGCGACCCCCTAGTGAATTTTTCATTGACAGAAGCTTTGTACGAGATTAGCAGACAGAACTAATATAACAAGTCTTGGAACATTTGTGAAGTGTTTTTAATGTTTAAAAGTTTCTTGATAGACTAAGAAGTTGTAAGTGTGCAACATGAGAAAGAACCAAAACATTTATTGTAAATAAAAAGTAGCAAGACAAATAATTGTAAAGTTGTTTATTTGTATCTTTTACTACTCTTTACAGTGTCAAGATTTTTGTAAACTAATGAGTTTTTAATAACTTGAATGATTGATATAAATATGACGGTGAAAATGTGTGATGATATAGACTATGGACTGAAATATTTAAATACAGTATATTTAGTAAGTTTGCATAATTTGGATATTATGCTTTCTTGTATTTGTTCATGTCCAATCCTAATTAAATAACATTTCAATATTGTTTTCTTTTCTTTACAGATGTTTTTGTGTAAAGAAGTAATTTAATAATTAAGTCCAGAGAGCAACTGTTTTTGAGATCTTGACATTTATAAACAAGCATTAATTTTACTAAATGCAATCATAAAATCAATAACTTTGGTTAAGTTTACAGTTTTCATGAAATTGAAATCAGTTTGGTTTAGATTTCTCAACTTTGATGCAAATAGAATATGAGATCAGTTTAGTTTTGTAGTTAAACCATGGTTTGTAAATCTTTTGTTGTAACATTGAGCAAAACTTACACTATATGGAATACTCAACAGGTTAATTCACACTTCTAACCACATTCATCCATGTATGTTTTGTAGCTCCAGAGGTAATACTGTATGGAATTACTACACTTATTTATAGATAATTTTATCCTTCTCTATGGATAAAAGAAAACATTGGCGATTTAATCACATGGTTGTAATTTACATCTTGCTTCCTCATTCTTTACAACATCAATAGGTTTTCTGCCCTTGAAATCTGTTATACTGGAAGCTTTGGGTTCACTGCTCATTAGGATGTCTACAGTATCAATGTGTCCATTTTCTGCAGCCTGTATACATAAAATATATTATTACTGCTGATTTTTTTTAAAAATACCTTGCCCACTAATCTTTTAGTATAAATACAAATTGTCTTATTTTTAAAAAAGTTGAGGAATCTTGAGCGCTAAAGTTTGTCAAATAGATTAAAACTCACTTAACATTAATCAATAATAAAATAATTATTTGCTTTAGTTTTCCCAGTGGATTATGTTAAGCAATATAATGAATATTGACTGCTTAACCATTAATGTCCCGTAACGCCCGCTGCCGCCCGACACCGTTAATGTCCCGTAACGCCCGCTGCCGCCCGCTTACAATACGCATAGAAAAATTAAATTTGTTTCATTACAATTCGGCCTACAAATCCTAATTTTTAACTAAACAGGAAGTCGGATAGTTTCAGCATCCTTTTCCGGTCTTCTAATTTCAATGGCGCTTTTGAAAGATAAAAAATAATAGTTTCTTTCTATCTCGAAATTTTAGACTCATCTGTCCTCTTTTTAGTAGATTTAATATTAAAAATAAAATAAAATAATGCCTCTAAACGTATCTAGGCATATATTTTATGAATTATATATATCTTAAACATAATCAAAATTGATATTTAACTGTTAAATTCGATGCATAGTTGTTTGAACAAAAATAAATAAAGTTGACTACCGAAAATGACCTGTTTTGAATTTTCTCCGACATTTTTATTTTTATACTGTACTTTTACCGAATATAATATATTCTATTTAATACTGTTGGAAAGCCAGGTTTATTCCCAACATTAAGCAGTAGTTTTTATCTTAATTTTCAATTTCATTTAGACAAAAACAAATATTTTGTGAAACTATTCACTTGATCATACAGAGTTATGCTCCTTACATTGGGCCGTCATGGGTGGAGTTTTGGTAGAATGAATGGGACATTAATGGTTAATTTAATTTCACCTTGTGTAACGGTGTCATTCCATCACAATCAACTGCCAAAGGATCTGCCCCATGTTGCAAGAGTAAACTCACAATCTTTGCATGGCCCATATATGCAGCTCTGTGCAGTGGGGTGGCTCTGCTGGATTTGGTGGCGACATTCACATCAGCATGATGGTCAAGCAATGTCTGACATACTTGGATGTGCCCATTTCTGCAGGCATAGTGCTGTAATTTGTTTTAATTTCACAAATTAAAATTTTTTCTAAAAATTGTCTTTTTACAAAATTCATTGAAAATGGACATTTGTAACTTGTAAGTAATGTTAAAATAATGAGAAAAATATGTAAATAAAGCTTATTATTTCCTGCTTCAACTACACTTAATGAAGTCATTGCCATACAACATATTCATGCTTGGTTAATACTTTAACTATAGGCTTAGGCTTTTATTCATTGCAGCTGAATGGACATTTTCAACTAGGCTCTTCAGTTCTATTAAAAATTAAGAAGTGAGGGCTACTGCAGATAAATGCATAGAATTATAATATGATTTAGCAAACTACCCCCACATATTTTTAAACATATGATTCATAGACCTCGGCATTTATTTATTACACTGCAGTGTATTACACTGCAGCGCAGTCCTTTTATAAAATATGTATAAGACTTTTAGAACACAGCAGAAACAAAAACCAAGTTACACACTAGCCTTCTCTTAGCCTTAGAGGGAATGTTGGTAATTAGTAGGCCTATACATCAAAATTATTAAAGTTAAAGGGTAGGGCCTAAATTTAAAAATAAATATTAATCAGGCCTAGGCGTTCTAGAGAGTCTAGACTACCCTAAGATGTAAGATGGGACATGATGCATTTTAAAATGTTAACCAAATATTATGACTAAAGCGGCAGCATCAACCATCTCGTCACACTGCTGTATTACAGTCTTAGTCTATGTCCCAGTGACTGGGTCGTAGTTGAGCACTAAGTGAGTACTGAGAGAGTAGCGATCTATAAACTCTAAAAAAAGCTACAAGATCTAGATCTAAAATAGAAAAATACCAAACCAACCAAAGCGGTAAAGCCCGACTTGTCAGCTTTGTTAACTACTAATCCGCCGCTCAAAGCTAATTTCTGTTCAACATCTAAGTTATCTCCAGTTAGAGCAGATGTCCATATCCCCTTTTCAAAGTCTAATTCGTCTAGGGTTTGATGCACTGAAGGGTTAGAGACTTGAATGTGGCATTCGCAACTTGGTGATTCTTCGCAACTATGGACGCCGCCATGTTCAGACATATTGTTAATAACTTTAAAATATGAGAGCAGTAAAAAAGTGAGACCATTCTATTTATATTATTATGGTTTGTATTTTCTAAAAGTTGTAGATCCTAATGCATGACGTATTTAATACATGACAAAATTAAATTAAAAAAAAATGTTGAGTTTTTATGTAAATATAGTAATTCAAAATTAAAGCGGTAGAGAATGTAGTAATTTTTGTTTCTGTTATTGACTTCTTTTCAGATTATAATTAAAACTTCAAAGCAGTCCATCACGTGATTATTGTAACGTGACTTTTGAAATAATCATGTGACTCCACCGGTTCAAAGAGTTACCGTTCGTTCAGATATTTTCCTATAAAACTTAGATTTAGAAACTGGTAACAATACAGATCTACAATGTCTACCTCCTATAATATTGTATTGGGCCTAGTAGCTGTTCTCTATTTAGGCTGTGATGCTTATATACCACGTATGCTTCACGGAAGACCGAGGGGTGGCTTTGTTGGAACCCCGGGTAAGAAAGCGAATACGATAATCTCGAACTGTAGAGTAGTGATAGTTAGTGAGTAGTAGTGACAGAGTGTACTGTAGACTAGACTGTAGAGTCAGAGTAGTAGATTCTAGTAGTGAGTGATAGATCTAGATCTAGTGATAATCATGTGCCATATAGATCTAATAAGTATAACGGATAATTGAAATGGCCTACGACACCCGACACTTATTCCGACGTTTGATTACAACGAGTACAGTACTGAGTACACACACTCTGACACTCTCACTAGTCTCACTACACTGAATTTGACTTGATTTAAATTTAACTACTGCACTACACTAGTCACAATACAAAATTCAATACATATAAATAGATCTATAGTATAGGCCTAATATAATAATGTCATATTCATTGTAGGTTGTCAACTACACACTCAACTACTACCACGTACAGTACAGTCCATAGGCCTACACAGAGAGTGTGACTAATTAGTAATTAGAGAGTAGAGTACAATCAGACACAGTGACTACAGACAGTATGACTAATTATCTTTACACATCCATCTAAAATCTAAGCTACACCTTTTTTTGCTATTTTTTCAAATGCAATGACATTATCATATTACCTCTAACACTCTCTAGGAGTAAACCTGTAAATAGTAGCTAAGATTTATGTTTTAAATATACAAGACCACATTCAGTGTTTCAATCGTTAGTGACAATGTCTTATGTTGAAATAATCAAATGGAAAATATCAATTATCGTTCAAAGTTATTTCATAGCTTATTCATTCATACTAGTTAAAACATAGTTTTTTTCCCTTTCACTTTAGGAAATAAACACCGCCTGCTAGGTAGCTACAAAACACCTACCTTGCCACCAGAGCAGTGGTTCACCCAGAAGTTAGATCATTTTAATGGTGCTGATCAGAGGGTGTGGCAGCAGGTAGTAACAGTTTTATTAAGTTAATTGTCTTCTTAATTATGCCTCTAAGAGTATCTAGATACAAAAAGTAAAAATACATAAAAGCCAAAGCTATAATATGAGTATCCCAGTCAGTAGACCCCTCGGTATATATATAAAAAGTATGAGGGGGGGTGCAAATCGAAAGTTTGAGGGGGGTGCAAATCGAAAGTTTGAGGGGGGAGGGGGTGCAAATCAAAAGTTTGTCCCCGGGTAAAAATTGGAACCCCCCCCCCCCTTGAGACGATCCTGGCTACGCCACTGATCAAAGTTGTACATAAAATGCAGGGGTTTCAAGTTTATAATACTTCTATGGGATATATGTAAGCCTATATTGGGTATTCTCATTAAGGTTGTTAACTCATCTGGGAACAAAGACTGGGAGGGGGATAATTATCTAAAGCTAGCTCTTGTAAAGCAAAGACAATTAGTATTTTTGTATAAGCCTATGTCCTATGTGTAGAAAAGCATTTTTCTTAGATTAGTCTGTATATGTAGATAAATACACTATTTCTGATGAAGAAAAAAAGACTCCATACCATTTTTGCCATACAGAGATACTTCGTTAACGACACCTACTACAAGCCTGGAGGTCCAATCTTTGTGCAGATTGGCGGAGAGGGAGCTGCAGACCCAATATGGCTGGTTGAGGGTGCTTGGGTAACGTACGGAAAAGTGTATGGCGCCTACCTGGCCAATCTTGAGCATCGCTTCTATGGAAAAAGCCACCCAACAGAGTAAGGGTTTGAAAATAAATTCTTTTCATTACGGCAGAGATTGGAGAGAAGTGATTCTTGCATTATAAAATAGTTTTTTGTCTCATTTTTAGACGGATATAAATAATTTATTCCCCCCCACATAGGGCCTACAATTAAATTCTGTATTTGAACCACAACATTGACCCCCATACATATTTAGTTCTATAATCACATAATTCAGAACTGTTATTTAAGGAAGGAAGCTTTAGAAATAGCACTGATCTTAGAATATACATATTTTAAAAAGGTATTGCTTCTTTAACAATTTGCCTTCCAGACACTTTACTCCTTTTTGAAAGTAATTTTAAATAACTATGACAAAAAAATTGTAAAAACATCAAATGCTAGTTATTACACACAATTTATTTGTTCTCTTGGATGTTCTGTTCTTTGTCAGTCTGTTCTGAACCTGATAGTTTTTAGAAGATATAATTGTTTTGTATGCATCCCTTTTTTGCTGAAAATAGATATTCAAAAGCTGAAAGTACAAGAGGTTAAATAGTTAAAAATTCAATAAAATGCTTGATAAATTAAATCCTAATTCTAAAGCTGAAATTTTGAAAGATCCAGAATTCAAGACTACAATTCAATTTTCTAAGATTTGAGTCTGTTGCCCAGTTAAACAGTGTTTAATCTGGGCTTTTGTCTGCCCTACCAATACTTTAGCAAGAGTTTGAAGATGTATAACAAGAACTGATGCGATTGTTTTATTTGGCAGGGATATGAGCACAGAGAACCTCAGGTACCTCAGTAGTGAGCAGGCCCTGGCAGATCTTGCTGCGTTTATTGTGTTCCTGAAGGAAAGTTTGGGGGATCCAGATGTGAAAGTCATAACTTTTGGGGGATCATACCCAGGTAATTGGTGTTAACATTTGGGGGATCATACCCAGGTAATTAGTCATTACTTTTGGGGGATCATACCCAGGTAATTAGTCATAACATTTGGGGGATCATACCCAGGTAATTAGTCATTACTTTTGGGGGATCATACCCAGGTAATTAGTCATAACATTTGGGGCATCATACCCAGGAAATTGGTGTTAACTTTTGGGGGATCATACCCAGGTAATTAGTCATAACTTTTGGGGGATCATCTCCAGGTAATTAGTCATAACTTTTGGGGGATCATCTCCAGGTAATTAGTCATAACTTTTGGGGGATCATACCCAGGTAATTAGTCATAACATTTGGGGGATCATGTCTAGGTAATGAGTCAAAACATATGATATTATTATTTCATCTTTACTTATATTTCAAGCGCCACATTCATATGAAGGAGGCTTATACATCAGATTTCTGTTTTTATGTTTATGCTTATTATAATGATTTTTCATAACTGCTTTTATTAATTTGGTTGTAGGGTCTCTGTCAGCTTGGTTCAGATTAAAATATCCCCATCTAGTGGATGGAGCTGTGGCCTCAAGTGCCCCGCTGCTCGCAGAGGTCAACTTTGTTGGTAATTTTTTTATTTTTATTCTTATTTTTATTCTTGTCTCTAGAACATCTGCAAGTTGTCATTACTTTTGTTACTAGAATATTTGCAAGTTATCATTGGTTCTTATCACTAGAACATCTGCAAGTTGTCACTGCTTTTATCTCTAAAATATCTGCAAGTTACCATTGGTTCTTGTTGCTTGAACATCTGCAAGTTGTCACTACTTTTGTCAATAGAATATTTGCAAGTTGCCACTGCTTCATTAATTTTGTCACTGGAATATCTGCAAGTTGTCACTAACTTTGTCACTAGAATATCTGCAAGTTGTCACTACTTTTCTCACTAGAATATCTGCAAGTTGTCACTACTTTTATCACTGGAATATCTACAAGTGTTCACTAACTTCATCACTAGAATATCTGCAAGTTGTCACTACTGTTATCACTAGAATATCTGCAAGTTGTCACTACTTTTATCACTGGAATATCTACAAGTGTTCACTAACTTTATCACTAGAATATCTGCAAGTTGTCACTACTGTTATCACTAGAATATCTGCAAGTTGTCACTACTTTTGTCACTAGAATATCTGCAAGTTGTCACTGACTCACTGATTTTGTCACTAGAATATCTGCAACTTGTCACTACTTTTGTCACTAGAATATCTGCAAGTTGTCACTAACTTTGTCACTAGAATATCCTCAAGTTGTCACTACTTTTATCTCTACAATATCTGCATGTTGTCACTGACTTACTACTTTTCTCACTAGAATATCTGCAAGTTGTCACTACTTTTATCACTAGAATATCTGCAAGTTGTCACTAATTTTCTCACTAGAATATCTGCAAGTTGTCACTACTTTTGTCACTAGAATATCTGCAAGTTGTCACTACTTTTATCACTAGAATATCTGCAAGTTGTCACTACTTTTATCACTAGAATATCTGCAAGTTGTCACTACTTTTGTCACTAGAATATCTGCAAGTTGTCACTACTTCTGTCACTAGAATATTTGCAAGTTGTCACTAAACTTGTCACTAAAATATCTGCAAGTTGTCACTACTTTATCACTAGAATATCTGCAAGTTGTCACTAATTTTGTCACTAGAATATCTGCAAGTTGTCACTAACTTTGTCACTAGAATATCTGCAAGTTGTCACTAACTTTATCACTAGAATATCTAAAAGTTGTCACTAAATTTATCATTAGAATATCTGCAAGTTGTCACTAAATTTATCACTAGATTATCTGCAAGTTGTCACTACTTTTATCACTAGATTATCTGCAAGTTGTCACTGACTTACTACTTTTATCACTAGAATATCTAAAAGTTGTCACTAACTTTGTCACTAGAATATCTGCAAGTTATCACTAAATTTATCACTAGAATATCTGCAAGCTGTCACTAACTTTGTCACTAGAATATCTGCAAGTTGTCACTGACTCACTGAGAACATATGATGGAACCGATGCCTGCAACTCAGCCGTCCAACAAGCCACAAACATGATAACAGACAACCTGGCAACACTTCAAGGGAGGACACAAATCAAGAACATGTTCAGGTACATTTGTTGTGAAACTTTCATAGTTTTGTGTGGTGATTAAAGTATGTTCCAGTACATTTGTTGTGAAACTTTAAAAAATTTTGTATGGAGATTAAAGCATGTTCAGGTATATTTTGTTGTGAAACTTTCATAGTTTTGTATGGAGATTAAAGCATGTCCAGATACAGTTTTGCATAAAAAAATCATGTATTTTTTTTATCTCTACAATTCTTTATATTATTATTGAATTTGTACATATACTTGTGAACACTGTTTAATTATTTCCAAGCAAGATGAATTAAATAAATTTTATTTAGGGTAAATGTTATCATTTTCTGTGTTGATTATGCAGTCAGTAAGTTATAGAACAAAAGTGAGCTAAAAAATGCAAATAAATAGAAGATGAGCTGAGTAAAACAATTATTTTCTTTTGTATGGATCGAGCCATATTCAGGTGCATTTTAGAATGATGGTTTTAGCATTTCTGTTGTGTAGTATTTTTTATAAAATGTTCTAGACAATATATTGTGAGCACTTAACTAGCTTCCCCTCTGTCATGATTAATGGTTGTATGTCAGATGTTACCAAGGTAAAAAAATGTAAAAGTATGATGATAAAAAATTTAATACTTTTCAGGCTGTGTGACTCAATAGACCCAAACATTCAGAATGACATCGCAAACCTGTACTCAACATTTGCTGGTAACTTTGAGGGGGTTGTGCAGTACAATAAAGATAACAGAGCCTTTGAGGTACAAACTATGAATTGTCAGTCCCTGTGATTCAGTTAGTCTTGTGTGTGTAGTTAGCAGGATCAGTGCTTTTAATTCAGGCATAGAGCAAAATGATGAAGAATTTCTAGCATTCCTCTCTCCCATATTGCTGTCACTAGACCTGTGAGTATCTACTATGCTTGCGCTCTCCCCTGGGGCACAGCACCTGGTTTGAAGGTGGTGGGTGGTCATTTAGTCAAGAGACAACCTACAATTTTGATCCTCACAAGTTAAAGTTGATAGCACCATTCAATCACTTTTAAAAAAAAACACAAACACATTTTTTTTTCATTACACATTTTGGAACTTTTGATGTATTCTTTTATATTACTTTTATTATAAATAACACAAAAACCACAATTTTTAACGTTCATTAAACACTCATTAAAACATTTTGAAACTTTTGATGTATGTCTACGTATATCTATATATTTTTTTCATTAAATGACCCACACTTCCCAAAGGTAAAATTTTGTTTACAACATTGGACTGATCTCTTTTATATTTGTACTGTCTCACCCAGGGAGCTGTGGGATCTAACATCACAATTGATACCTTGTGTGGTATGATGACAGATTCTTCTCTGGGAAATCCCCTGCAGAGGTATGCCAAGGTAGGTAACCATTTGTCTGAGGTCATCTTATTTAATCTATAAATTCACCACAATGGCCAACTTTACAGATTTCATAACAGTATAGCTGCCAGATGGAGTGAGTGACTCCTGGTGTAGTGGTTGGGATAAAAAAAATTCTAGAATTTATTGAGCTGACTCAAAAACAGGTCTATAACACAGCCCTGGCCAGTTAAAGTGGAAGAGAATTGTTGCGGCCCTGTGCTCCACTAGGATTAAAGAGGACTAAGTCAAGAAAGTCAGCACTAATGGATAACCAACATTAGTTGGGGTCCTATTGAAAGTGCTGCCCACAGTTTTCTTGGTTATCAAAACTGACTTTACATTGGTCAATAGTTTTGTTTTCAAATTTGTAAACTGACCAACTAACCAATTGTATCTACTCCTACGATTGTATGTTAACTGACCAATGGTCTCCATTCCTAAGTTTGAAATTGTATGTGCAAACTGACCAACTGACCAATGGTCTCTAAAGATTTAAATTTGTGCGTATACTGACCAACTGGCCAATGGTCTCTACTCCTAAGATTTAACATTGTATGTGCAAACTGACCACCTGACCAATAGTGTCTAAACATTTAAACTTGTGCTTATACTGACCAACTGAGCAATGGTCTCTACTCTAAGAATATAATTGTGTATGTAAACTAACTGTCCTAATATTGAAACTTTCTATGTAAACTAACCAACTGACCAAAGATCTTTACTCCCCAGATCAGCAACATGTTGCTGGACGTCTACTCCACCCAATGCTTGGATTTTAAATATGACAAAATGATTGACAGTATGAGGCAGACAGCCTGGTCGTCAAGTGCAGGAGAGGGAGGTAATTATCACACCTGCATACCTTATCAAATTATCATGTACTATTTGGTAGAAACAAGTACAAAGTAATGAGTTTATATTGTTTATGAGGTTGGCTAATCCTTCTTGATGTATACATCATACACTACAAATTTTAAAATTTGAATTGTCTTAATGTTTTTTTCTGTTAATTTCTCCACTTTTTAAAACCATATATATGTTTTTAACCTGATGTTACTGAGTTTGTTTTGAATTTTGTTTACAGGTCGCCAGTGGACGTATCAAACTTGTACAGAGTTTGGCTTCTACCAATCATCGGATTACCCTAACCAACCTTTTGGTCATAGTTTCCCTATTAAGTAAGAGATCTAACATAATAATTTGATCTTTAAACAAAAGCATTTGCATACAAATTTGTTTAAAGATGAATATATAGTTCAGAATAGTTCTTAAAAAAAATAACACACAGTATATTTTAAGCTAAATGAATGTTCACTAGCCTTTTAAAAAATGTTTTGTGTAAGTTATGCAATCTTTTATACAGATAATTTAGTAGGGGGTTGGGGGCAGGTGGTAATGTTCAATAAACCAATATTATCTATTAATTTTGATGGAAATTTTAGTGATTTGTATCTACACGTTTCATAGCTTGAACTTTAATCTGTGTCTCAGATTTTACATTGGCTTGTTTAAATTTTTAAAGTTTAATTGGGAGTCAAAGTTTCTATTGTTGATTAACTCTACTTTGTAATTAAATGTAGGTAATAATACAGTATAATTTAAAGTGCCTTTTCTTGTGCTATGATATTAAAACATAATAGCTAAAGAATTTAATTAAAACACCTAACAACTGTACTATAAAACTAAATATCTCAACTTGTAATAGATTTCTAGAGTTACTTTTACATCAAAGTTAAATGTAGCTAATGAATTCTGTAAAATTAAAATTAAAGCACCTCTTCATGTGCTTGGTTTTTATATTTAAAAAAAAATAATTTAAGTATAGTTAAAAGTTTCCTGTACATAATGACTGCAGTTAATATAAAATATCTCACACTTCCCTGACCCTCCTCAGGTTCTGGACTACCCAGTGTCAAGATATCTTCGGCAGCAGCTTTAACGATGCCTTAATTAACGCCACAGCTAAGAGGTCTAATGACGATTATGGTGCACTCGGCATTAAAGTGTCCAAAGTTTTATTTCCAAATGGTTCCATAGACCCATGGCATGCCCTGGGCGTGACCCAAGATTTGAACCCTGATGCCAGAGCTATATACATCAATGGTGAGTTTGTTATGTTGTAGGGGAGGCTTGGTTAATGGAAAATATTTAGAAAATTATTCATTGAAATTCTGATTTAATCATTCAAATAACTTTAGTCTGAACTTAAGACATATTTTAACTATTTCTTAAAGACTAGATAGCCACTAGCAGAGATGAAATAAGAGTTTGTTTGTGGCTGCTAAAAAAGTGATTGTTTTACTCTAATGACCAAATTATGTTCTGCTGCTGTATCTAAAGTAAAAAGTAAAGAATCCTCTGTAGACCTAGCGATTCATTGGGCAGATGAAGTAGAGTTCCTATGTTTCTAGACATTGGCATATGAAGGGAAGTTGTGGTCAGCACTTTGCCCGGCTGCTCTATATAAATATCTTAATTGTTTTGAATTTGAAATGATGTACCTCATATCTTGAAACCCGATTCAACTAAAAGTGTTATTTTTTACCTTGTTTATAACTTTAAAAAGTTCTATTGTGATGGCTGAAGTAACATATCCCAAGAGTCTTTAGTTTAGTTTCCAATCTAGAGTTGGTATGCTGCATCCCTGAGTCCACCCAGCTCTAATGGGTACCTGGCTAGTCAGAGAAAGTAAAGGAAGCTGAGCATTATGCTGACCATACTATTTCTTTATTTGCACAAGTCACAAATACAGGTTAACTCTACATACTTCATCTGCCTGTTTGACCACCTGGTCTGTAAACAAAGTTTAAAGTTTGGAAAAAATTGTGATCTTAACAGTAACAATCACATGTCTATAACAAGATTAACTAGATGAATGTAATTTCTATGACTTGTACTTCATGTTCGAAACAGTTTAATTTTTTTTTTATTTACAATCCATTTATTAGACAGTATGTGTAATAAAATAAATAACGCATCAACATTTTTGTCTTAACTATCCAACAGGCACAGCACACTGTGCCAACATGTATCCCTCCTCACCTGATGACCCCATTCAACTGGTCCAGGCTAGGAAAGAGATTCAGTACACGATAGGACAATGGCTTCAAAGTTAAATGGGATAAGTTTTACTGCATTTTGAATGGTTGTTGATTGATTTTTCAACGTTTTTAAATAGGCTGTGTAGAGTGGAATACAATTTGCATAATATGACAGGGTATTTGTAATACTAGGTTGTATTTCCTAATTAACTAATCACATTACATTTAATTAAATGCTGCTTTAGCTTATTGTAATTAATAATGTTATGAATAAGCTGAGGTTTATTTGTGTATTTCTGATGAAATTGTTTTAATTGTTCCATGTGATTAAAATATATCAATCTTGTTTTTTCAATGACAGTGTTGGTCCTTTGTTGTAGCTTCAGATTATACTTATAGTCTAGAATAAAACTGAATACTTAAAACCTGCACAACTCAGAACTGATTAACAATGAAATATGGTAGCTTTGAATCATATTGAAAACCTTAAAGTTAGGTTAGAAAGATTAAGAAAGCTGTAGTGGTGGATCATGTATAGGGGTAGTAGAAGACTGTCATGCATTGGGGTACTAAGGATGGTGTTAGCAAGGGTTATCGTTCTTCCTTCTAACCTATCCTATCTTTATCTTTATAAGTTCCTGCCTAAGCCAATGAGGTAGATAAAGCTTTAAATTTGATGACCGGGCAGTTTTAGCCCTTCAAATGCTGTAAATAGTGAAACTAATGAACTCTACCCCACCTAGATTATCAAGTCTGAAAATAAGGGCGTGTTTTACACGACAAATTAAGTGAATATAATATTAAATAATATGTTAATAATATAATAATAAATATTTAGCAAATTGAATAACAATAAAATATGTTATATATGTATGAGATCAATTCACAAAACATGACACAAGTTATTAAGCTGCAATTATTATCAAACAACTTGCACGCTATAACAGAAAACACCGTCTACCCGGCAAATTGTAATGTCAATCTGCGTAGTAATGCTGCTTCATATTTGTAATGTGCGGAGGTTACGTGTTTTTAACACTTGTGTTCCATTGAACCCACCCCCCCCCCTCCCCAACTCTTTAGTATCTCATTCCTACCCGCTCTACATAAACGTCCAATTTTCTCAGCCCGTCTAGTCCTTTTCTGAATTAGCTCGCAGAACCATACTCGGTGGGTTTATAAAGTAATAAAGTAAGTAGAATTATAGTAAATCAGGCATTCTAGCTTTTTTTTCTCACGTCATCACACAAGGGGGCAGGGGCGTAGCGAGGGGGGGGGGGGCGGTGGGTGCGGACCGCACCGGGTGACACCATTTAGGGGGGTGACAGCAAGGCAAAAAATAGCAAAATATATAGAGAAAAACTTGAGGGGGGTGTGTGCAAATCGAAAGTCTGAGGGGGGGGGGGGGGTGAAAATCAAAAACTTGAGGGGGGTGCAAATCGAAAGTTTGAGGGGGGGGGGGTGCAAATCGAAAACTTGAAAGTTTGTCCCCGGGAAGGGTCGCAACGCCTCTGGGGTGGGTGACACCATTAAGTACCGCACCGCGTGACACCCGACCTCGCTACGCCACTGCAAGGGGGCGTCCATAATCAACGCCACTCCTGGGGGAGGGGGCGTCCATAATCAACGCCACTCCTACATCACTTGCCCCATAGACCGTTAGGTTCGAATAACTTTAAAAAATGTCTTTACAAAGACTATGATATTCTGCACCTGTTTCTCATCAAATAAAATTAGGTCACAAAGTTTCTAACTGAATCGGTCGTTTCCACGCTTAGTCAAGCTTCATCTTGCCCTTTCTGAATCTGTAGTTTCCATGCTTAGCCAAGCTTCATTTTGCCCTTTCTTTCTGCTTCACCATGCATTTAGAATTATCATGCCCTGTTCTCAAGTTTTTTTGTATGCCTCCTCAAATTTTGTTATGCCCATATCATGGCGAGTCCATAAAAACTGTAGTTCTTGTTGAGATACGCTACCCAGTAGTCAGTAACTTGAACCTGTAGATGGTCTCTGGCATTGAAGTAGAACACGCCACCTACAAGACGACACAAACATTTATTCGCTTCAGAGAAAAAACACATTTATATGATGACAAGGCAACGTTTTTTTGTGTGTGTGTGAGTGTTGCTGTTAGCCGAACTGTAATTAAAAATAATGTCATACGTAGGGCTCTCCCCCACTATAAATTAAAATACCCTAAATAATAGGTTGTCCCACAGAAATATGTACTGAAGATGACATTTTTTCCACTCAAAAATATCATTGTTAAAATGTCTGCATAAGACTTTTCCGTGGGACAGCGTGGCCTAGCGGTAGAGCACTAGACTGCTATCTCGAAAGTCTCGAGGTCGAATCCAGGTTCAAGTCAGTAGAACGTCCCTGAGTCCACCCAACTGTGATGGGTACCTAACTTTTGTTAGGGAAACAGATGCGGCTAGGCAAAGTGCTGACAACGTCAACCTCTTGTATGCCTAGGTCATTGAAACAGGTGAGCTCTACTTCATCTGCCCCATTTGTCTATAGCACAAACGAGAAAAGATTATATGACTTTTCCAAACAGAAATAAAATGCCTTTGTAGGACTTGCCCTCGCCAGTAATTAAAATGTCCTGCCTAGGACTTGATCCGCCAGAAACTAAAATGTCCTACGCAGGACCTTTCCCTGCGAGAAAACATGTCCTACCTAAGTACGAAGTCTCCTCCTGGCCGTGACAATCATGGCAACAAGTGTGGTAAGATTCGAGCAAGTCTACTCTGGAGTTATCGGCCCTTGTTAGAACTAACTTGTGGACCCATGTCTTGAAGAAAGGAACATGTGGAAATATTTGGGTTATTTTTAGAAGCTTTTCATTTTGGCTTCTGGTCTAATCATACACCTAGTGGCTAAAGAGGTTAAGGGAGGGGGAGGGGGGGGGGGGTATCAGAATGTGTGATGACACACTTTTGCGTTTTAAAAAGTAATGTTAGAAACTGAATTTTAGCCGATATTTCTCGTTTTTAAAATGCTGTTTGTAAATTGTATAAGGAATTTATTAATATACTCTATGTTAACCGAGCACAGAAACCATTTTTAGAAATAAATCTATGCTTTAAAAAACGAAACCAGTAATGTTGAGAGGTGGGAGAGGGGGGATTCGAACTCTGTAGTGTACGCCATTTTAGGGGTGAAGGGGGGGTATCTAGTATGCCAGATATATAATAAATCTTCGTTTAATCATCATCGAGTTAGAACGCTACAAAAATTATTCTAATAATTATAACAGCCCAATCGATCATTAAATGATTGCCCAATGGAAATCTAAACACAATGCCTAAGCGTAAGATGAGAATGTCCAGATCTTGCCTATGTAGCCCCCCCCCCATCTCTCCACAACTAATGGACCCCAGGGTCAGGACACTAACCAGCAAACACTGTATCCCCTCCCCCTCTCATATAATCCCTACAAGATCTTGCCTGTGTATCAGTCGCCCTCTCTCCACAGCTGATGAACCCCAAGGGCCAGGACATTAACCAGCAAACACTGTATCCCATCCCCCTCTCATGTCATCCCTACCTTGATTCGTAACTGACCGCAGGTGCTTGAGGTGTTCGGCAAGAAGAGCAGACTACTGTAGGTGAAGTAGATGCCAGGATGCACAACCTCTAACCCCGTGTCGAGAATTTGGACGTGGCGCAGGTGGTGCACTGTTTCGTCTGTCGTGTTAAATGTTAGCGGGACGGTGTGATCTACCGCTTTCACAATACCTTGGGGGGGGGGGGGGGGGGAGATAAAGATGATGGTTACGTTTCCTTTATGATGTACCGTACAGTCATTGATCTTGGTTATTTTTGTTCGAAGTTTCTTTTTTTTTAAGATTCCAATTTTTCATAACGAACAAAGTACAAAAAGGGGCCTGCGTGGTCGAGTCGGTAAGCCAATGGTTGCTAAACCGAAAAGTCTCGAGTTCTAGCCCTCGGGCAGATGAGGCTCTTTAGCTGGGGACAGCAACTCTTCTAGGAGAGACAACTTCGAAATCAAACAACTGCTGCCTTGTAGTTTGTTCTTAGATGGACAAAGGCTATTGAAGCAAAAAAGAAAATCAGGCTAAAATCGGAGTCAATGCATCAAATGGCGCATAACCAGTTTACACGTATCCTTAATTGTGATGGAGGCGTGTTCGAGTCGGCAAAAGCTCATAGTTGATAAATTCGAAAAAGTCTCGAGTTCAAACCCTATGGCAGATAAGGCTCGAATCCGTTCCAACACTAAAAATTAAGAACGAAAAAGAAGACTGAGCACAGAAACTATTTTTAGAAATAAATCAACGCCTTAAAAAACGAAACATTGATCTTGGTTATTTTCGTTCGAAATATATTTTTTTCTAAGATTCCTATTTTTCATAACGAACGAAGTACAAAAAAAGTATACAATTTCGTTGAAAAGTGGTTATAGCTCTTTACCAAGCTCTAACATTAAAATTCTATTTATAAAGCACTTTAGTAACTGTATATTTAAAGGCAAGTTAGGTATAGCGTGAACAAAGTACGCAAAATGAAATTATTTTAGCAATTGCTAATTCCTCACCCCCCCCCTTTTTTCCTTGACAAATTAAACGTTCAAATGTATGTAAGGGAAAAAACCTAATACAGCACACTTATTTGGGACACTAATGCTTCAGCTAACTACTAACATGTTTTGTATAATTATCCGTTTTTATTAATCATCAGCAAACAGACAGCAAAGTTAATTAATTGCTCCTATCGAGTGTTGATTTCCGGTGAAAAGTGACGTCAGACGGCCCTCAGGAACACGTCATCATGTCACAATGACCTTTGACCAGCCTTGTACCGGAAATAGATTTTAGCTACACGCTTGTTGTTTAAAATAGATCTCTACTGTTTAGAGAAAATATAGTCAATTTTATCCCCCCCCCCCCTTCACAGAGGTTGTCCAAGACGGTTTACATTAATCACCAGTGTTTCTTCCATGCATCTCTTCGGCGAAAGAAAGTCTAAACCCCCCCCCCCCCCCCTCCCCTGAACGAAATGGAGTTTATATAGAAAATATATACTTTTAATAGTGTCCGCTCCCCCGGAAATTTTAGTCCGCTCCCCCCCCCCCTTCCCGAAAATTTCAAGTGACCCCCCCCCCCCCCCCTCGAAGAAAAAAGTCTGAAAAAAAACCACTGTTAATCGCCACATAGCTAAACATTTTAAAAAATCCCTTGAAACTTGCGGAACTCTACAAAAATAATAAACGACGGAAGACTCGATTGTCCCGAGGGTGGTATCAGATGTTGATAGGGCAGGTTGATATAGTCTTGCGACATTTTTAAAAATATATCAACTTAGTCGACTTAGTTGTTAAATGTATATATTAACCCAATAGGATTTTTAAAAAAGTAAACTTAAGCAAAGAAATAAGTTTGTCATGATTACATACATTGTGCCTAAATGGTTAAATACGAATCATATGAAATAAACTAAAAATAAACCGGGAGTGATCTCCCCTAAACTTTCTCGAATATTCTTATATAAAACAACAAGGGATGGGAACTCGGACTATAGACATGATTTTTAATCCATTTTAAATACTTAAAGTTTTAAAAAAAGAATAAAATCTCGTAGACAAAAGAATTGCACATCAAGTGAAGGCCAAATAAAAAAGTGCATAATAGTGCGCAATATTATTAGTACTTTAAAAATTTACATTAGTTTTTTGAGAAATCGGAAGTAGCGTAAATTACTACTTCCGGTCAACGGAAATTACTCAAAATTTAACAGAAGGTAGAAAATTAGATTTTTTACTCACATGTGAAATTTCATTTATCTATCTGAAATAGTACTGAAGTTATAGGCTTTTGAAAAATTCAAAGTAGAAAAAGTACCACTTCCGGTTATCGGAAATCGCTCAAAAGTTGATACGGATCTACGATTTTGATAAAATACTTATATATGAAATTTCATCAACCTAGCTGTAACGGTACTCAAGTAATCGTATTTACACACAGACACACACACACACACACAGACAGACAGACACACAGACATACGGACAGAAATGCAAAGCCCAGTTTTTCAGAATGGATTACGCATAAAACCTCTTAATTTTGATAAATCTGGATTGATAATTTTTGCCCGATTAAAATAAGTCCTCTATACTTCGGATGTGATGAAGGACTGAGGTGTAATACGGTGAAAATTGTTAAAATTTCAAGAGATTTTTTTGCACGATTACAATACTTTCTCTATACTTCGTATACTTCGTATATACGAGAAAGTAAAAAAGTAAAGATTTCTCATTACACCTAGAGATGCATTGGGCAGATGAAATAGAGTTCACTATGTTTCTTGACCTCAGCATATGAGGAGATGATGGGGCTACCCGCCTTTATATTCCAAAACTCAAAACTGTTCCACTAACTTGAACACGGATTCGAACTCGAGACTTTCGTCTAGTAGACTAGCGCTCTACCGCTATGCGACGCAATCCCATAATATTATGAGATGGCGCCGGGGAAATAGGACTGCCAGATAACAGTAGGAGGCGGACTTTACATTTGCTTTATTGAGTGTCGTTTCTCAAAATGTTATAATAATTTTTTTTTTACTTTTCATTTGAAACTTACCATTTGGCTTGGTTAGCTTCAAATGGGCTGACACTGAACTGACAGGTAGTATTCTTTCAGTGTCTATCTGCACTTCTGACATAAAAGTAAAAGACATTTGCATCTACATTTAGAACAGTAGGAGATAAAAGAAAAAACGAACCCTAAATTCTTGGAAACATTGTTGTATGTGTTCTTATAATTAATCACCACGTGAGTTAAACCAAATAAACTGCAAACACCCTCGTTAATTTTATCAAACACTATTGTAGTCCTAACTTCTCATAACACTAAAATTTGTGAAGTCACTATGTCAGGTTACAGCATTTGCCTTTCGTTTTCTTAAATTTAAGGGTCGTCCCATAAATGACGTCACATTCTTAGGGGGGAGGGGGGGGGGGGTTCCAGATGGTGTGACGTCACACTTTTGCATTATAAAAAAGAAAGCAATTTTAGAAAACGAATTTTAGCCGTTATTTCGCGTTTTAGAAAACGGTTTTAATACATTG